GTTTAATGCACGTTTAAGCTGTCAAAGGCTATATAACTATATTTAAAACGAGCAGTTTGAACAAACGATAATTAAACGACGCACGTAACTTTTTTTCGGGGCCTCGGTAACGATTTATCCCGTCACAGGCGTAAGCGTGAATAATTTTGTATACATCACACTTGATATTTTGGTAAAACACACAGACGCGCGTACGAATTATAACGTAGATGCAAAATTTGAGGAGTTAATAAGTGCATGCGTACGGTGCATGTCAGTTAAAGCACACGAGGATGTATAATTTTTTTCGTGAAATAGGGGAAGCAGCAACGCGCGCGGTTAGGTGGCTGCAAAAATGTTAATTCTAAAATGACGATCGTCGTCATCATCGACGGGCCAAGCCACAAGGTAAAAAAAGAGCGAAAAAGCAGAAAAACAAAAAAACAGCGTCACGATCGCGGGTCGAGCAATTGCACGTAGAGCTCTCGAATTACAGTCAGTCTCTCGCACTCGAGACGTGCATAATGTGTTTTATAAAAGCCGCAGGAACGCCACAGTGCAGAGCACACACATACACATTTACATTCGAAATCCTGGCAGTAGCCGAAACTTAAAACTTCAAGCTCGGTAGCTCGAATCGATTCACCCTTTTTCTTTTCTCGCAGGTTGCATCACGCGATATCTCGGGCCCTTTAATTGGAGACTTTTTTCTCCTTTCTTTTCTTTTTCTCTCTCTCTTTCTCGACTTCGTGTTATAGATGCATCGGACGAATCCAAGTCCCTCTTTCTCTCTATCGGCTACCGATCGATTTCTTTTCAAACTCTTCTCACGATGTCTTGGGCGAATTTGCATACAGGCGCGTAAGTAAATTATTTTTCCGAGTCATCGGCGGCCCTCTTTTTATTCTACATATAAACTGTTTACATTGCGTATTTGGCCGTTTAATGTCGGACGGATCTTGAGCTGCATCGGTGATCCATCTGCGGGAAAAAGTTACGGCTCTACGCGAGCAAGTCGCGACTCTGGCCAGTACATTTGTGTGTATACTTATTCATAGTGATCGATCATTGCAGTTGGCCTATGGTACAATACCCAAACGCGTATCTGCATCGCTGCTCGTTCGCACGCGTTCCACGAAGTATGTAGTTTGTACGTACAGGCTCGATAAAAGAATTGCACTCGGCTCTCTCTCTCTCTCTCTCTCTTTCTTTCCTTCGCTCGGCAGCGAGCTGCTGTCGATATTTTTTCGTCTGCCTTTATCGCGAGTCTTTAGCTTTCTTTTCCGTTACATTGTCCCTTAATCTCAGCGTCCATCTCACTGTGTCACGTGTACGTGAGTATATACATGCGTGTGTGTCTTTGTGCATATAGACACGTAAACAAACAAACACACACACACGAACCCTACGCCGCTTTTAGTCCTGCAAAATGTAACGTGTGATTTTTGACGCGCACATGTATGGGCGATTTTAATGAATATAGGCACGAGCTTGGCACAAAGATTGATTGGATTGCGAGTCGATTGATTGTAAAATGAGGGAGAGAGCGAGAGACGAGTGCAAGTTCGTGAGTTTGTTTTCTGTGCGCTCTAAGGTTACGCGCCAGGCGTTTTTCAATCGATTGGACATTTTTATGCCAGCAAAAGTAATAGATCGATTATTATTGCGAAAAAGGCGCCCGATCGACTTCCGTAGTTAGGCGCGCGCTCGCGCCACCATATCAGAAAGAAAGTGAACTCGTAAAAAAATTCAAACTCAGAGAGAAGCGAGGCGATAGTCATCTCTATAAAGTCCTGCAGGATTCAAATACGTTGGAGGATCGGATGATAAGTAGGAGCGAATCGGCGAGTAAAAAGTTTAATAATAGTTTCGCGATCGACCGCCCCGATAATTAATGGCTTTAATTGAAAGTGTAATACGCACCTCGCTGAGAGCTTGTCTAGAGCTAATGGAATAGACTGCTTAATATTTTCACGGCTAATCATCGATATACTTTATACGACTATAGGAATGATTCTCAGTTTTAAATTAAAACTCGGGCACGAAAAATACTGCGCGTTGCATGAAAAATGTTTATCGACCGAAACATCAGACGTTTATTATAATAATATGATGCACAGCCAGCGGCGCATATAATGGAATTTTTTTGGCGTTTCGAGACGCGCGTAATATGCTAATTCTAATTTCTCGATGGATGGATTTTTCGTGTTTTTTTCATGTCGAGACTCTATATAGCCATTGCACTCACAACTGCGTCGTAAAAATATTAAGTGTATCTAGGTGAGTCAAAAGTCGTTGTCTGTCGCCGGCGATGCGAGCCGATTATCGCTGGTAAAATAAAAATACTATCAAAAATGTAAATTCCAATTCAATCCTTCCGTCTTTATTTACACGATATAAATTTTTTTCTCCTGCAGCGGTCCTCCGCACACGCAGCAAAACTTATATGCGCAGCGTAGAGACGCAAAAATCCAGGGGGATAAGAGATGAGAGAGGAGGGCAGCAGCGGGAGGGAGATCCGGCCGATGCTGCACCATGAGTCTGCTTGTGTTTCTGTCTGCCCGCGGCTTTGCATGTGTGCGTCTGGGCATAATATGCGCATGAATGTGTGCGTTTGTGCGTGTGTTTATGCTGTGTGGCACGACACGCCGCGTTGTCGTTATATATACTTGCACTTCTCGCGCGTTCATGACGCATAAATTCTCCGACTCGAAAGATGCGGTTGTTCTCGACCTGCGTGCTTATAATATCAACGATGATTTAACAACGGATCTACTTTTCCTTTTATTTATCAATTTTGTTCGATCATCTAGCGAAAAGTCGAACATCTTTGGAGAAAATTCATCAATCGTATGAGTTTTAGGCGCGAAAAATGTAAATAAATGAATTATATCGTATATATTTTAGATATATTCTACAGGCGCTTCCTTACGGCATTCAATTGGGTCACATTGATAGCGCATTGCGCATGTCGCATCGAAATTACCAATTCATTTCTCGTATTTATTTTATACGATAATTATTTTAATAAAAGAATAAAATGGTTACAAAAAAGAGCATTCAGGATTTCTAGGAAAAGACAATCGGCTCGAGCACCAAAACAGGTCATCTACACGTCGTTTTTTTGCTCTCTTTCTCTCTCTTGGTCTTTTTCTCATTCTTATTCTCGAGGCACACAATACGCACACCAGCGAGACCGATGCGAAAGCAAAATTTATGGCGTTTCGATGTTGCAGTAAAAGTTTCGATCACGCGCGCGCACCCGCGCGAACGCGGCACAGCCAGCCAGGCAGAGGCAGGGTGCAGAGGCGCAGGCACCGCAACGCACACACGGTGCGGCACATAATGCTGATAAAAAATTTCTTTCGACTCTCCGCAGCTAGCCAGTTTTATGAATATTTCGGGCCTTTTTATACCTCGCGAATTTTATAATCGCGCGTTGTTACGATCCGCATTTCTGTCCTCTATATAATGTTTTAATTACCCCACTTAATTTATGAATAAACTCGTAAAGTAAATTTTTCCTTTTATGATATTTCATAATTCATTGGGAGTTGCGCGCACGCATGCCGTACACATGTCCAAGAGAGCATTAAAAGCAAATTTTTATGCGTAATAATCGCAGAATAGGAAAAAAAGGGTAATTTTTGTCATGCATCGGGCACAGTTTTCGAAGAAAAAGAAAGTTTTTCACAACTGCATTTTTTAGCCCGAGTCGCGCCGCATTGCCAATTCATGGCATCGATGATTCACATTTTATTGTTCGTATAAATATTTTTTACGCTTCTACTTTTATTATTATTTCGGCATTGCAGTCGTAACTTTTATTTTATTTTTTACTTTTGTTTTTTTGTTCTATATAAATAGAGGTACACACGTGCGGGCGTAATAAATATTTAATATTTAATGCATCGTGGCAAGGCGTATATGTATTCGAATGTACTATCGTGTAGTATGCATCTGGCTGCGGCTTCGCGAGACAAGTCCCTCGCAACTACACATCTTGCACTTGCAGATGTACGTCCGGATCACCTTGGAAGTAATAAAAAGGAGAAGAAACGGGTTCGAGCGTATTAAAAGATTTATCTCGAGCTGCCAATAAGCTTTTCGTCGGGGCTCGAAACCTTACAGACTTTTGCTGCGTTGGAAAATTGCCTAAAAAAAGTTAAAAAATTGCAGACAAAATTTAGACGAATCCTAATGGCAGCAGTAGGCCCGATGTAGCGGCGAGCAAAAATCACATCAACATTCATCGGACGCGCGCTCGGTATCGAGCGGCCGACGCTCGCTCCTCCCGAACAAAGAGAAACAACAAAGCAGCAATGGGCAGCAGCAGCAGCAGCCACAGCAGCGAAGCGAAGCGAGGAGATCCGAGCCTGCACACAAAGTGCATAGCAACGGCGGTACAAAACCTCCTTCAAGGACACTTGGTATGTATAGCATGAGTAGCAGCAGCAGCAGAAACGCGCGGCAACAGCAGCAGCGCATATTCCGAAACCGAAAGTGCGATCCCGCGAAAATCTAACATCTCGCACAACCGGTCTGACCGGATTCGGCGCGCCACCGCCCCTTGCGCCGAGAGAGGCGAAGCCGCATCTCTCTCTCTCTCTCTCTCTCTTTCTCTCTCTCGCCGACTGGTTTTTCGGCAGCAGTGTAACAGCGTCATTTGCAAAGAGCTCCAAACGTGCTTTATGTATGAGAATATTATAATGTATACGCGCGCCTCCCAAAGAGGGGATATATTATGGCTATATGCAGACTCGAGAAAAACGAGCAGAGATGCGCGTAGCTCTCAAAGATATATAACCGATTAATACCCCACTGACTCCATTTCTTTTCGTATGTAGATTTTTTGTTTATTATCGTTGTCTATGCACAAGCTCGAAAGCCTCGCCGTTTTCCAATTGATTTTCCACATTCGTATCCAATATCATTTGGTCCGTCTTATTTACAAGTCATATACATTCGAGTAAATCTAACGTTTTCTACACATGTGCATGCAATAAATATGGATAACATACCAGAAATCCTTAACAGCAAGTCTGACGAATCTTCCACAAAATAGGCCGGTCCATGATCCTCTACGATGTGAGCTTGTTAGTAAACATTTACGTAAATTATTAGTCAATTGTATTTTCAGTCATTTTTTACCAAGCAATAAGAAATGCATAAAAACGAATGATCGAATTTAAAGTGTAATTCAACGTATAAAGAATATTTTCACGATACAAACATAAAAAAATAAATGGAGCAATAGCAATTTGTGAAATTATACTTTTTTCGTCTTTTATAGGTACAGATTATGTGAATATCAAAGATATATTCTATGCTTTCAAATTATCTGTAAGAATATCGGTATCAGATATTTCAAGTATTTCAAAATTCGCAATAACTTTGTTTGAGAATAAACTTCAAAGATGGATTAGTTAAATTTTTTGTTCAATAAAGTACGAACAATTGTTTTTTTTTCGTTATCGTTAGTGAATCTTTGATTGCAGCTTCGTTATTTTGCCTGGTCGAATATCATAGCTAATTGAAAAAAATTAAATTAACAACTTAATCGTATAAATCATGATATGAAAATAAAATTCAATTCAAAAACAGCAAAATTGATTTAAAACAAAAATAATAATTTATTTCCTAAACATATAATATATTTATAAAAAGAAAGTATATAAAGTATAAAAAAAGTCATTGTCGCTCATTCAATTTCAACATGAAGAGTGAAAATCATCGAGTTACACTCGCATTTATATTTTTCTCTTCTCCTACTTTTTTCATGTTTCATTTTAACAAGCTTATAATGATAAATAATTATCTTCGATTATTCACGCGCTGTATTTTCACTCCAACTTATTGCACTCAGTATTGTTTATTCGTAAAATTACAAAAAAATTAAAAGAAGAGAAGCAAAGACAGTACAAATAAATTATAATGTTAAAAGCATATAAAAATTGTTTCTCGAATTAAAATTCACACGCACAAGCGTTCCTCGCCAAAAACGAACAGCCTGATTAAAAGCGATAAAAATACGAAATGTTCAATGAATAAATGACCCGTTGAGTATCATAAGTCACGGAATAGTTTAACATCTTACAAGAGTAAATAAGAAAAACATAAATTATTTGTCTATTGTAAATCTGATACATTAAGTCTCTGCATGTACATGCTCAAGGGGTTTTTGAACTTTTCGTATTCTGTCGCGAATAAAAATATATCACGCTGTTCGTCTGTGGGCACTTATTCGAAATAAAATTTAACATCAAAAAATCGTTTCGAAAAACGGCGTGTTCACGCAACTCAAATAATTACAAAATAATCAAAATGCTCGTGGTACGTCGTACAAAATAATCCGCTGAAATCAAATTTGCAATATGCTCTGGTCGTCTATTATAAAGTATATAATAAATATTATGGCATATAGAAAGGAAGACTTTTTTTTGTTTCTATCTGTACTTATAGATAAGATGGATCGCGATGAAAAGTTTTGCGCTAAAACACGAGTATGGAGCACCAAAAATAGAAATAATAATTTGGATCTGTTAATTCGTATGTACTGACAAAAGATTGGCTGATTACTTTGAGAATTTATAAAGAGTTTCGTCGCGCTGTGCAAAAGTTATCGTCTATAAACTAGAACGCTTATGGCACGCTGTGTTATAAAAAAAAGAACGATAAAAAAACCGTCTGATTATTCAACAATATAATCGTAGTAATGTTTCCAATAAGTAGCAAAGAAAAAAAACTCGATGGACGATGCGAGAATTGCACATTTCGAGTGCGCAGTAACAAAAAAGTAGTTTTTATCGCACAACGACTCAGGTGTATGGAAAATGTCGATTATATCATATAAATTCATTTGACACAAGTAAAAAGTGTTAATAAATGGTGCTTTGTGGCGCATATAAATATAGAATAAAACAAAAAAATTAATAATGGTATAGCACGCGTCGCATTCGTATATATTTTATATTTAAATATAAATGCCTGGTATACAACAAACAAAACAAAATGGCGTTGCAGTCGCAGATTCTATATTATAAATATCATACATAAACACAAAAATTGATACGACGCTTAAGAATCGAGAATAAAGTAAGAAGGTTGGATTATTAAAAAAAAGAGAGAATACGTTAATATAGCGAGAAAAAGAATAAAGTCTACCATAAATCGTTAATTATGACGTTAAAGTAAATAACTGATATCGGCGATTCTTTAAAATTTACTTACTATGGCAATGGCGAATACAAAAATTATGCGACAAAAATGTTTGTTCTTTTTCTCGTATCTACACCTTAACTATTTGTAACGTATTTATAAATATCATTTATACACTGAATAAAAAGGTTGTTTAAGAAAAATTACTCCTCGTCTCGCGTACTAAGTGTATAATAATTAAAAAAAAATTCGAGTGACACTAATATTTCCGCGCTTGAGACGCAAAAAAATCAACAATATTACACGAACAAACGGATAAAAAGAATCTACATGTCTATATGTCCACCCTGGATAAACGAGATAATACATCGTCCTTACTTTATAAAACAAAAAATGCATTGAGTAATGTATAGCGCATGTATATGAATATTGTATACCTCCTATTTGGTAATGGGTCTTCGAGAGAGATGAAAAAAAAAAGGGAAAAAAGAAATCTCACATTCGTCCCGTTTTGCATAATATGTCGCCGCCGTCGTGTTTACATTCACATCGACTTCAATTTGATTTATAACGTTTGTACACGTATGCAAGTGTATGTATGTATGTATGCGTATGTACCTGAGTGTGTCTATATTTTCGCGTCCTTTCTGCATGTCTATCTATTTATCTCTTACTTTGTAAGTGCATGCAGGCGCGCGCGATTGTATGGTGCAGCGAGAAAAAAAGATAGATACGAAAATAAAGCATTAGTAGATATGTTGTACGAGCTTGTATGCGTTGACGGAAAATCAAACGATCACTTTATTCCGGTGGTTTTCTGCTTTTTTACAACTGTATAAATATTTATATATATCTGTATTTATCCTATATCTATATATATGAGTTTTGATTGGCGTGAGTGTCTATATTCGAGTGGCGTCGATCGCTCAGTGAACGTGAGAGACACAGGCGCGCGTCGTTTAACTATTATACACATTTGATCTATACATTCAACTATTGTTTAACTATTATATTCCATTAAATTAATAAGGCTTTGTGTCGTGCGTGTATTCGAGGGGGTCAGGGAGAGCATATCATGAACGTCACCTTTCGGAGAGAAGGCACCGCAGAGAGAACAAGTGATCCGCCAGTTCATTCATTTACTTATTACGTATTGCAATGGCTTTATTTTTTCTTGTGAATCATTTTGCGCCTGTATCGTCTTATTTTCAAGTTACGGTCGTTCACTGAGCGCGCGCAATCGAGAACAAAAATTAATATACTTTCAACTATTGCATCTGTTACGTTTATTAAAATTACGATCAACAATCAACAACTATTTCTCGTACATTTTGTATTTCGTGGAAGATTCTGTAAAACAATCAGTAGTATTGCACGACTCTATCACTTATTATATTGTATTACATATTGTAGTTAACCACCGGAATAGTGTAATAAAACACGTCAACATATAAGATTGGTATTGTTAGCGATGACTCTCGCTCCAAAAATGGAAAGCTCAAATGCATACGTCTCAATAAACGGCGACTTTGCGGTAAAAATCGAGACTCGCAATCTATTTAACAAGCTGCTCTTGTTAGTCGCTTGTTAATGTGACGAGGAGCAATCACGATGACAAGGTGTACGCGAAAGAAAAGTATCCAGTGCGTCGTATGTCCACGCGAAAAAGAGTACACGATCCAAGATGTAAAAGCATGAGAAAAGTTATCGGGACTCACTGCGGACGACATGGCCGTTTTTGCTGCCTCTGACGTTCGTTTTGCATTCGATCTCGCGTTTATTTTTCGATCATATGTACCGTCTGCGCGCTTCGGATAAACAAAAGACGTTCATTCGCCGTACGTACATATTTGAGCATTCCTTCCTAGGTACTGCAATGTATGGATGTGAATGTGTGCGTGTGTGTGTCTATGTCTGTGTGAAATTACGTATGTAAACGAGTGCCAGTGCAAAAACATAATGTACATAGCCGAGAGAGGGAGAATAGAAATTTCAAAATGAAAAGAATAAAACAAAGTGCTTGAGAGAGCATCGCGGGTACTACGCATCGGGCAGTTTGATCTTTTTTTTCACTCGTTAGACGATGAATATATGCTTATACACACTTTGCATTATGTTAGGTATGAAGGAGCGACAGCGACCTTGAAAGATTCGCTGCTTTTTTACAACTCATAACACGATGATCGTCTCGAGCCGCCAATTCGTCTGTGTCTGAGCTATGTGAGTAGGTTTTTATATTGTCGCACCTGTGTTGAATTAAAGCTATGCATCACGAATTCATTCATCAAAGAAAAGTAAACAGATTATGGCTGACCTCGGTGAAGGTCAGCGCGAGCATCACAACTCCCACTATTTATCAAAAAATAAATTTCTTCGATCGAATTGGCGGCATCTAGCACGAGCGGATAATCTAATAATCCCACCCAAACCACCTTTCCATGTTTGGTAATTTCATTTTTATTCGTGCAAGATGAACGCGAGATTAACTCATCTAAAATAGGGGCTTTAGAAGCCCTGATCACATCGTCAAAGCGCAATGATACAAATATAATATTTACACATTTGTTACGTATACCGACGCGTTGTATTTTAACGTATAATGTAAATTTCCTTTTTTTATGTACAGTCTGTGTCTTGCATACATCGCTATGGGTATGTATGCTTCTTTTTTTAATGTTTTATGCGTACGCAATTTGACGGACTTATCGGATAATGAGTGATTTTTAAATATTTCTTGTTTAACGTGCCACTACTTTCTCATGACACGGCTAATTAAATTAATTAATATAATAAACATTTCACGTAAAATTCCACTTTAATGACACCCCTGCCATTCTAACCGTAAAGTTGCTAATTTTTTTCGGCCGATTAATTACAAATATTTCGCATCTCGTGGCGAACGCGCGCGTGCTCGCCTTTTTTTCTTCGCTCGCTGCACTTTTTCCTATTCAATTCGTCCGAACTATCGTTTTTATTTATTTATAATAAATAATGCATGTACGCACTACACAGCTATGCAGGCGCGAGTATGCTTTTAATAACTAAAACAAATAAAATGATAAAAAAAATTACTGCACCAATTAGCAGCAATTCCGAGGCACTACGAACGAGTCATAACGGCGATTATGACCGTACAATTATCATCTCAATTCTTTCTCTCTCCCTCTCTTCATGTTCTGTTTGTCCAAATTAAAAAGACTACATAAAATATCTAATTCGTAATATATTATATATTATATATTTANTTATATATATATATATATATCATCCGTATTTTCGTACTAAGTAATGTGTATCATAGATCAAAGTGTGTAATATACAATAATAAAGAGAGATCACACGTCTTAACTATAGAACATTTAAAAGACTATCGATATTTATATTGCGCGTAGAAGCGCGTAAAATTTTTATTAAGTATTGCCACAAATTCATAAAAAACGAAAATCGCGTTTATAAAACAACAATTATTTCGTATAAAAAAATAACGATAACGTCGGTAATATGAAAAGGAAAGGATTAGGGAATAGTAATGCAATGATTAGTGAATGATGATAATGATACCGATGGTAATAATATTAATGATAATGGTAATGAAAAATGACTATTAAGACGATAATGATGATCGATGATTGAAAATATTAATGACGCTTCATTGCCAAAGATTGATAATTTTTTAACGAGAAAAGGACCTACGCTACTGATCAATTTCCTCGTTTTCCCAAAAGACTCCGATCAAAAGCTTAGTTAATTTGTTTTATACCGATTATATCCTGATTCCTATGTCTATAACGTTTACAAATATTTCAGCATTTTTCCATGAACTTCGTAATTATCGCTATAACTCTATATACGTCAATTCGCGCATTGGGCTAATTTTCCCATTTTTCTACCTTTATTCAGCACCAATCTGATTCGCAAAAAAGTTCTTATGGTAATATAATAATTATAATAATAATAAAATTGCAATAAATAAAATACTCATCACTGTCTATTTAAAATAATAACCAGTTGTTTGAGTCTGTGAAGACGTTTCCGTTTGTGTTTGCAAGTAGATAAAATATACATTCGAATTGTGTAACAGGATATCAGTTCACTTATATTCACTGCCCATATATATTATTTCATTAATTAACGTTAAAGAACTATTTCATTGTTTGGGCCTACGAATTCGGAATACTCGTCGGGCCTCTTTTATCATTTCTTGTGTGCTCAATGAAGTAAATGCATTTTCATTATTCTGATTATCTCGTTTTGATTCCTCATTCCTCGATGCGCGCGCCTAATCAATTTCCCTTCCGATTTTTCAAGTTTTCTCTAAGTTTCATGTTACGCGGTATACACAGTATTTACAGACGTTTCGTTCGCCCATACAGGTTACTTATGTATATATTTTTATTTATATATATTTATATTTAGTATATGATTTTGTTCGCTTCATTTTTTTCTCACAGTCCGACAGAAATTTGGACGCCTTTTTTCTACATTTATTACTCTTCAATGTCAATCTACCCGTGAGAATTGATCCACGCACTCTTTTCTTTCATCATTGAAGACAAAATAAAAAGACGTTTTGTATATAGGCAAGTTAAATAGTTATCACAATCATCTTCAGTCTAGTCGAAAAAATCGAACATGTTCGAACCCGTTTTTTAAATTATTATTATTTTGTTTGCTCGGTTTTGTTGTTGTTTTATTTATTTATTTTTTTTTGGCAAGAGAAAGTCAATGTATACGGTGAAGTCTTGTGTCGAGCTTCGATCACGTCGCGACATTCGCAAGGGAACCAAAGTGATGAGCGCGGAATAATTGTACAACTTGCGAAGAAAGATATCCATAATGTATAATATATATGTCTAGTTTTTCATTGTCGAATGTGAACGGACGTGTTTCATTCGTTGATATATGCACTATATATTATTATGAGTGTTTTTATATAGATACATTACCTTGTTAATGTGCCCAAGTTTTTGCTTGCTATCACTCTCATTTTTGTACGTCAGGGCATCTTTCTCTCTTTCTCACACACATACACACAGCGTTATCTCTCGCACGATTTTAAACTTGGCTTAATATACAATAAATAAAAAGAACTTACAAAAAGGGAAAAGGTGCGTGCAGAAGAGGTGATTGTGAATCGTACGTTAAACGAGGTAAGTAGAAAAACAAAACAAAAAGAAGCTATCGGTTCGCACGTCAACAGTCGTGTCCCAGTCGTTGCTATATCGTCGCTTCGTTTACGGATAGAGTTGCTGGAGTGGTTGGGGCTGCTGACCACACCGGCTGGGAGCGTCCGGAGATGAGGATGAAGAAGCGATCGACGATGGCGACGAGGATGCCGACGAGGACGAAACCTGCTGCTGTTGCTGATGATGATGCTGATGATGATGATGATGACTATTGGAAGATGCCGACGGAGGCGTCGAGGCAGCGGCTGCCGAGTTGTGCTGCTGCTGTTGCTGCTGATGCTGATGCTGATTATGAATATTATGGTGCTGCTGCTGCTGCTGAGCGGCGGCACTGGAGTTGGCACTAGCTGCGCCACTCGGTCCCGGGCTGCCACCGATGCATCGCTGAAACCTCAGCGGTATTCCTGCCTGCTAGTATGCCGCAGGATGGACGGCTAGTCACTGGGGCGGCAGACCGGTGGGCGGCTTGAATTCCCCGGTAACGACGACGTTGGACTGGCCCACCGGAAACTGGGCCGAGGAGACCGACGGCTGGTGATTGAAGGCCGGCGCGTAGCACTGGGGGAAGTAGAGCTCGGGCTTGACGACGGCCGGGGTGAGGCCGCGGGCGACGCTGACGGGCCCGAGGCCGCTGGGACCTCCCGGTCCGGGTGTGGCCGCGCCGTTGCTGGCCGCCACCGCAGCCGCTGCCGCCGCCGCCTGCTTGGCCTCGTTGCTCGAGTTCCGCCGGATCTTGGCGGCGTGCGGGTTCATGTGGTTGTCGATGTGCTTCTTGACCTCGGGCTCGGTGGCGAAGCGACGCCGGCAGTTGGGCATCGGGCAGCAGAACGGCCTGTCGCCCTGGTGGGTGCGCGTGTGCTGGTCGAGGATGGCCTTCTGACGGAAGTCCTTGCCGCATTGCTGGCACTTGTAGGGCTTCTCGCCCGTGTGGATGCGCAGATGCTGATTGAGTATGGTGCGCTGCCTGAAATTCCGGCCGCAGTAGACGCAGCCGTAGGGCTTCTCGTTCGTGTGTATGCGCAGATGCTGGGTCAGGTGGGACTGCTGCCTGAAGCGCTTGCCGCACTCGGGGCAAGGGTACGGCCTCGACTCGATGTGGATGCAGCCGTGCTGCAGCAGCGTCGACTTCTGCTTGAACTCCTTCTGGCAAATGGGACAGCGCACGTAGAGCGGCATCCCGGCTGAGCGTCCGTGCTGGATCACGTCGGGGAGACAGCCCTTGGTGCCGTTGGCCCCGTTGCCGTTGCCGCCGCCTCCGCCGCCGCCCTGCTGCTTTATGTACTGGAGGGCGCCGAAGCTGCCGCCGCTTCCCGCCGCCCCGAACACCGAGTGATTGTTGCCCTTGGGGTCCTTGAAGTAAGCCGGGTACTGGGTGCCGTTGGCGTCGCCCGGTGCTGGGCTGAAAGCTCCCGACTGAGTGTCCGTGTCGCCGAAAGTCGATGCTACTTCTTCCTTGCCCTCTTCGGGTGGGAAAGGTACGTCTTGCGGCCACAGGGTCGGTGTCATACCATTTTTGAAGATCAAGTGCGGACTCACGTCTGAAATGATAAAAGCGAACACACACAAAGTGCCGTTAGATGAGATGACAGGTCTTCGTCTCATCGTCGTCCGGCTTGCGTGCGACGATGATGTACAATAAAGTGTTAATTGATTACGGTTTTTTTTCTCTGACTCTTTCGTTTCTTTCTTTTTTTTTCTTTCATTTTTTTTTTTTTTTTTTTTTTTTTTTTTTTTTTTTTNTTTTTTTTTTTTTTTTTTTTTTTTTTTTGCCCAAGGATCGCGAGTAAGGATATCGTATGGGATTTAGGTTATTGTTATTATACTCATTTCTTCCGCTCCACTGATTAGTTGATGTATATTAATACAGATGGTAGTGAAATATAAGAAACGCGCGCTGACGAGAGATATAAGATTTTGCATCTTTGCGAAAAAACGACGACGAAGCAAAAAAAATTTTTATCACGTCGTCACTGATCGGGTCATATAATACTTGATCATACTGCGGGATAGGATTTACTTAAAAAGGAATTGAAAGAAACACTCTTTCCAAAAAACTACATGTATATAAGGTAGGTAAGACAGGTATTATATAAGCAAAGCTCTACACGTCTCAGACGTCTTGTTAAAAAATTTATTCTTAACTTATTGTAAAAATTATCTTTTATTTATACACTACATATAAATAGCAGAATTGCTTGACAAATTTTAAATTTTTCGTTAATTCCGATTATTTTAGTTATATAAAAACAAATTTACAAATATTATTATTAATTTTTTTTTTTTTTTGAAAATTTTTATGAATTATCATAATTCACTACACACACATATAACTTCCGTCGAATTCTATAGATAGGATTTTCTGCGAGACGAAATAAATCCCTTGAATCCGTCATTGACCACTGTATATATAAATCTGCATATATATCGTACATACTGAGGAGTAATAGACATTTCGTACAGAAGACACAGGATTTGAGCGTAGAAATTTATTTAAAAAAGCGATCCAAGTATCGATCGATTTATAAAAAAGCGTCTTGTGTCTTCGCTCGACTCGTGTCTGTTTATATATACACAGTATACGAAGAAAGTATGTGTGTATGTGCGTAAAATGCGAATGCGTAAAATTAGAGAAAGACGCGTCGCTTGCCACAAGCCCTCCGCATATTCTTTTTTTTTTTTTTTTTTGAAATACGCGTCATGAATATCCAATAATTATATTTACATACACGTACGATCATAAACATGCGTCGATACACAATAAAAAAGCATGTAATAGCGAGATAGCGAGAGAATGAGTGAGAGACAGTTAATAATTGCAATGCATTTTTCGTTTCTTTTGTCTTTTTAGTCGATGCTGTTTTGCTGAAAGTCATCGAGCCGACGAGTGATGGGCTTAATTACGAACGACCACTGCTCATGTTATATCGCCGAAATGATCGTCGACGTCGATGAAATCGTCATCGTCGTCACTCGTGATCTCGCGGTGCCGGTGTCGGCGGCTGTTATTATTATGATTATGATTATTTCGTCTAGGTCGATTCGCGCCGTCGCGATTGTCAAGGTCAGCGTCGGCGGCGTCACGGTCGACGTCTAAGTCGTCGATATCGCTCGTCTCCCGCATCGAGGGGGAGTCTGGGTTAGGCAGAGAGAAATGCTCGCCTTGGTGTGTGCGGACGTGCTGATTCAGGATGGCCTTCTGACGGAAGTGTTTCCCGCACTCCGGACATTGGTATGGCTTCTCACCCGAGTGGATGCGCAGATGCTGATTTAGGATGGCCCGCTGTCTGAAGGTGCGCTCGCAATAGGCGCAAGCGTAGGGCTTCTCGTTGGCGTGTATGCGCAGATGCTGGGTCAGATGGGACTGCTGCCTGAAGCGCTTGCCGCACTCGGGGCAGCCGTAGGGCCGCGAGTCCGTGTGGATGCGCTCGTGCTGCAGCAGCGTCGATTTCTGTTTAAAGTCCTTGCCGCAGGTCAGGCACTTGAACAGCCGCAGCTCGCTGTTGGCCGACTTGCTGGACTTGCCGTTCTGCTGGACGATGTCGGGCAGTCCGCCGCCGGCGCCCATGTTCGGCCCGTTGGCCGAGGCGTACTGGTGGGCCGCGGCGGCCTCCAGGCCCCCGGGACCGGCGTCGCCCGTCTGACCCAGCGACGTGAGCATGACCCCGGGCTGCTTGAGGTAGTGCAGAGCCGAGAAGCCGCCGGGCGCCAGCATGTGCGGCGGCACCGACGGCGATGGGTGTGGCCGCGCGTCCTTGAAGTAGTGCTGCGGGTACTGCTGCAGCTCCGCGCCCGACGGGAAGCAGTCGTTGCGGTCGACCTCGTGGCCGCCGATCTGCTGCTGCTGTTGCGGCGAGTGGTCTTGATTGTTTTGCACTTGCTGCTGGACTTGCTGCTGCTGTTGTTGTTGCTGCTGCTGTTGTTGCTGCTGTTGTTGCTGGGCATTCTGTTGTTGCTGGGCGTTTTGTTGCTGCTGCTGTTGCTGCTGATTAGCCTGCATCTCTTCGTCGGGTGGTGTGAGAGCTTGTGGCTGGTCTTGGGCCGTCGATGGATAGGGCGACGGCACGGGCGACGCGAGATTGGCCGCCTGGGCGCCGTTCTCGTTCTCGACCGGTGGCCCACAGGCCTGCTGAGGACTACCGGATGACGAGGAGCTTTGCTGCGGTGCTTGCTGCTGTTGCTGCTGCTGTTGTTGCTGTTGTTGTTGCTGCTGCTGCTGTTGTTGTTGAGCGTAGAGGCTGCCGTCCTGGAGAGATCCCGGGCCAGGGCCCCACTGGCTTTGGGGTCTCTCCATGTTGTCTTTGTACAACACGTACGGCGTGCCAGTATCTGCAACAAATAAATAATTCGACATTGATTACTTCTCCTCTCGTACTCATATCGTTTATTTGGCATTATTTTATATGATTCAAGTTGAGTGGCAAAAAAATCTTAATTGTACGTGGCGATTCGGGAAGCTGATTTACGACGGGCAATGTACGACGGTTCAGCTTTTTCCGAGCTTTGCAGTCTACGCAAAAGAAAAGTTAATCAGGGGGCGACGACAAAAACTGCTCGTAAACAGCCATAAAACTGCGAAAATAGATACACCTTGGTTCGAGAAGCAAGGAGACATGGGAGAGAAAGAGAGAGAGAGAGAGGGATATTTCAACGCCATAAAACGAGCACGCAGTTCCGTTGGCGAAACTGTTGGACAATTATCCTCATTTTCCAATAACGTAATAAAAATTATAATCCCATGCATATATTTATGCGCTGAATTTTTTTTCACTCTTTTAATAACGCGTGCATCAGAATCGGTGCGCTCGTTTCCGTACTACAAAACACTCCGAATTTCTGACAGTTTGTGCGTCGTTATCGGAAGAAAAAGATAAGATACGTCGATGAACTTATGCGGCAATTGCGACTATATATAAACGCGCAGAGCGGAAAGCTCTAGCGCACACGTGACCCACTGAATAAGATTAATACATGAAAAAACAAATGTACATTTTATTTGCATACAGCAGCGTGACCATCGGTCAAATAATTTTTTGCTGCATATAGCTGTCTGTACACAAGTAGTCGAGAAAGAGGTGAAAGAAAATCATCGCCTCTTGATCGCGTCGAAGCCGACGTCATCGAGTGTTGCTTTTTTTTTCGTGAGTGTATGTGTAAAATGAAAAGAATAAGCGAGAGGAGCGTCGCACTAGATGCAGCAAGTGTCTGTTACCGACACGTCCCAAGTGCCCCGTCTCGAAGCTTTATCAATAGCCGCGTCGTCGTCTGACCTAGCGTACGAGCGTAAAGCGTCTCCCCCTCATCGCAATGCAGCAGTTGCTCGACTGCTAGTTTTAGTTTAAAATCTTATTTTTATGATATTTTCATTTAAATATTGCATTTTTGCATCGTTAAAGGCACAGCTCGAGCCCCAAGTCCGAAGCTTCCTCAGCCATTGTGTACATTAGTTTGTATTTGACCCCTCCGAGTTTGACTTGCATTAATTACTATTATTGCGTATGTAGATTTTCCATCACACTAGAGTGACCAAGCAACGTTTGCACTGAGTAAATATGCACATACAAGAATGAATGCGCGCACGCGTCGAATCTCAATAATTGAAAGAATGGTTCGATTAAACGATTCCCGTTCAACATTTTCATTAACTAGATTTGACTTTTTGCTACTTCTACTCCTTGGTCTGTATTGTGCGCTCGCTCGATGCCGTCGAAAAAAATGGTCTGCACCCCACTCGCATTCGTCGCGTCGCGCGATCAAAGTTAAGCGGGTTATTGTTCTCTTGCATCTTCGATTTCCGGTTTTACTCTCTTTCTCTTTCTATCTTTCTTACTTATAACGTTAAATAAGAGTTTAAATATGCGTCATCCTCCCGCGATGGTATATTCTCTGAAATTCCAATGTGTACGTTCGAAAAAGGGATAATAATCCTTGTAAGAGTGTATGCATTTAAGGCCTACAGGGACCGGTGAAAAAAAGAAGAAAGACGTCTTTACGATTTGTTTTGGCGACGCTGGTGCCACACACGAGAGGTGCGCGAGTAAAAAAAGACGCCTGCATCGAGCTTCTAAGGTAGGATACACAAGTACATATACGCGTCCACACGTACAGAACTACAGATACACATACACATACGTACACGGCCAGAGAATACCGAAGAAGGGATAAGCACGGCAAAAATACGCACGCACCTACACACGTAGCAAAGTAGGAGTAAGCGCGCGCGCGCAGCACGAGTGCAGAAAAGAGGAGAAAAAGTTTATGGAACAGCAGCAGCAGTAGCTAGCACTGCAGAAAAAGTCCGCTCGCGAGCTCGAAGGGGGAAAAAGTGAGAGAGCTTGCCGTGCCGAGCTTGCAGCTCTCTCTCTCTCTCGCTCTCACGTGAGCGCTTGCGCAGAGCTTTTTCGTCAGAACGGTATTTTTAAAGATTTTCCTTTCCACAAGAGCCAGCGCTCTATGTGTGTATCTATATAAGTATGTGTGTATGTATGTGTGTGTGTGTGTGTGTGTGTGTGTGTGTGTGTGTGTGTGTGTGTGTGTGTGTGTGTGTGAGGGAGAGAGAGAGAGAGAGAGAAAGACATAGCTACGTAGCTTTAAACGGGCGGGTCGTTGACAAGCCTCGAGCTTCGTGCTCGCTGCGAGCGGCGTTCATTGCCCGATAACGCGAAAGCTTTCGTAAAACACGTCCTCGGCGTCTACTAGATACGCATGCATGACGATTTGTTACTATCTTTGCGAAAATCAAGAACTTGTGCGCAATCTGCATGTTGTTAGTTTACCATTTTTCTAACGAGGCGCGCAAAAGCGACTCTTTTTTTTTTAGTTTTCTCGCTCGAACGCGCCGTGTTTGTTAGATTGGATTGCGCTTTTTCGCCGAGGCTGCGTTGTTTATGAATCAATACTGCCCAACAGACAGGCTTGTACAGCGCAAGATTTTTTTTGGTAATTGACTTTTGGTTGGGTGCTTTTTTTACCGCCCGCCCTCGCAGTAGGTTTTGTTCTGGATATTTTTATTTTCCTAAGCCTGTTACGATGCCTGTGCTTCTTGATTTTGTAAAATTGATGCTTTAAAGTAGAATTTAAAAACAATACAATTTATGCTTGTTTTTTATCAAACTGGCAAAGCTGCACTTTTCCGTGGTTTAATTCTGGTATGGAAACATTCGTAAAACCATTACGAGGAAAATTGAGTAATCGACAGAACTTCACGAGAAAAATTCTTATTCAGATTCTTCGAGTATTTCCTATGAAAGTTTTCCACGCAATTGTAAAGAACTCATTTTAATAAAGAATGATACTCTTCAGTCATGTCTGAAAGATTTTCACAGAGCCAAATGGTAATTTATATGTTTTATAGATGGCGCATTTAGTGCATAAATTAAAACCGTATCCAGTGATAACAGTCGAGCTAACTAATTCAAATAATCTAATGTTGATAATGATAAAATAAGTACTTTTTTACACTAACTTGAAACTTGAAAATGTTAAATTAGCCTAAGTGAACAATTTGATATTATTCTACATCAAATAATAACTGTTCTCGGTTGGCTTCATGGTCTTATATTGAACGTTATGCTTGGCGTCTTTTATAACATACAATCGCGATTTTAAAATTTTTTTAATGTGGCAGTACTCGATAAATACAATAGTTACTTTTATTTTATGCTTCAAGAGAATATTAAAAATAATAAAATAATTTCACAAAGTATGCGTACCAATTTTGAGCTCAAATGTAATTTTATTCTAAAATTTTTGATCGCTTCTGAGGATTTCGAGACCCTCGACTATTACACTTTTTTGGCTCTGTTTTTCAAGGTTGAGTTCGATATTATAAAAACAGACTAGAGCGAGTATAAGTCTTCATTAATCTCATTATCAAATCGTCCTGATCGCTTTCCTAAAATTCAGAAACACACATGGACCTATATCAAATATTTTTCGCTCCAACGAGTCTCGCGCCATTTCTATGATTTTATTTATATAATTTCTCGAATTGATTGTTCGTACGATTTCGACCAAATTTATTCATTTTACAGGTGTACAAGCCCGTCGTTTAAATCCCGCACGCTAGAAATATTATTTCAATTTTTTATTTCGATACGTGTGCAATTTCGCTAGGCTACTGTACAAATTGTTTTTATATTTACGATTTTGATTTCGTATTTTATCAAATCTGTTATCGTCTTTTTTCGATTCACTTTTTTCCATCCATCTAACAATCTTCATAGCCCTTCAAAAGAGAAAAAGCACTACCCACGAATTAGACTAGTTCAATTTTTTTCATACACGTGATGTGTCTGTGCATGAACACATACAAAAAAGGGGGAAGAGAGACGAGGTAAAGGTTGGCAAAAATAATTTACGAGAGTTGCTGCTGCAGAACGTACAGCACCGTGCATTTGTGTGAGTGCGTCTGTGTGTATGTGCTCTTTCCATTTGAGCAACAGCGGCAGCAGACCCTCTCTCGATAATCTCGAAACCCGGGGACATGAAAAATCGAGAGGGAACCTGTTTTTTTCGACGAAGCCTACCGTGTGTGTGAACGCGACAAAGAAACAGACTTTTTGGGACTTCGATGAAAGAGTGGAACGCGTAGCGCGCTGAAAAAAAAAGATCGAATGAAAACATTCCTTTACGCGATAATTTTTCAAGTCGCGGTACAAAGTAACTAATTTATTGACCGTTGCAAGTGTTATAATAATATTTATTCAGACTTTAATTGGGACATATCCTCGAGTGATCACCTGTTATAAAAGTAATTAAGTTTTCTCATTTATAACGCGTGGATGCCGCTCGCCCGAGATTTATGTATTATGGATTTTTAAATGAAATAAATGAGAGCTCTTCATCTCTCTTTCGCTCGTGAATTTTGGAGAATGTATATTTATGCAAAATGCGTCGAGACTATTAACAGGCTGATTAAACTCAGATTGACGCACGAAAATTGCATCCAACGTATTGTATTTCATCCTTAAATATGCACGATTTCACGATGTACGCTACGATCGAGTACATTCACATTCATTTACATAATACAATATTTTCAAGTTAAATGTACATCTACATGTTGCTGAAAAGTGAAAACTGAAAGTTCACTACGAGACGTCTTAATTTCGTGTGCATTATTATTATGTCATGCATAAGCGATCGAACAATGAAGAAAAATCAAACATTTTAATCGAACAAAATCAGCTCTCGGTATTTGCATCATGTCTCCAAGATGAAAATTTTAAATTATAAAAATATTTGCGAGGCCCTCATAAAATGATGCAAGTTTGTCTAAAACATTTCTGTTTTTGCCCAAGAGAACACAACACATATAATGTGTGGCA